TACTTCAAATAAATTCGTTGGATGCCTTTAGCAAAAATAAACAGACTTTAGCAGATCATTGTAGAGTCACAGGCCAGAAAAAATTAAGGTGAAATCTGGCCTTAAAGAGGAATGTTTAAAAAAACAAGTAGAGGTGGAAGAAAGACTATACTGCCTTACTCTGTAAGCAGAGAGAATTGATCTGGAGTGGAGATTTGATGAACTTTAATCTTACCCCTGGTACTTGGGGGCCTTCCAGCACCCACACATTTTTGTTAGGCAGTGTTTACAAAGAACTAGAGAAGCAGCAGCAATTCAGAAAAAAAAAGATTTTGTTTCAGGATGGAAAAGATTAATCAAGAAGTCACATGGTCTATTATTATGCAACAAGAAGTAATGGACTCATACATGGTGAAAGAAATGACTTAGTAAACAACCTTTTTTTTTTCTTTTAAAAGGGTAAGAGGAAGGAAGATGCTGGAGACAGTTTCAGTGCTACTGAGGAGGTGAAATGTGCGGTGTGGTCATTTCTGCAGACTTCCAAGAGAATGGGTGCCATTTCTGAAGCTGCAGTAAATATTGATTGTATAATTGGTATAGATTTACTTCTAAGGCTCTCAAGGGAAATTATTTTCTCAGGTTGAGGTTCTTCATTGCAGCCAGCCCACAAGGACAAAACGATCACTTCTTCTGCTTCCTGTACTGACATTAGTTTAGCTACGTGCAATGAACATTACTGTCAATTGTCACCCTCTGATGGAGATAATGGCGCTAGAGGAAGTGATGGTGATGATGGCATGGGACAGTAATGGTGGTGACGATGGCGATCTGTGGGGGAGGGTGATGGAAGTGGTAGAGTCAGTGGTGCCATAGGATGGTGGCAGTGGTGAGGTGGTAGAGATGGTGATAGTGGTGATGCTGATGGGGGATGTGGCAGAAGTGAAGATAGTAATAGTGGTGGCCATGATGGTGACAGGAGTGGTGCTGATGATGGCAGGAAGATGCTGGTGGTCACTGTGACAGTGATGAGGATAGAGGTTGATGGCCATGGTGCTGATGACGGGAGTGATGGTATGCTAGATATCACGAGAAGACCAGTCTTTTGCAGAGATTATGTTTCTGCTCAGAAGGCTGCAAGATCCTAGGATTCCTTCCTGAACTTCTGTGAATGAGTCTTCACAGAAATAGATGGACTTATTTAATCTGTCATTCAAAAAGTATTCAGCGTCTGCTATGTTCTGGGCGCTAGTCGAGGTACTGATGATAACAGCAGTAAACAAAACAAGCAAACCTCTGTGTTCTCAAAGAACTTCCATTCTAGCCAACAGCCAACGAGACTGACAATAAACAAAATAGATAAGGAACACATGTCACATGTAGGGTGATGACAAGCCCGAACGAGAAAAAGAACTAGAGGTCAGAGGGGGGTATGAGCAAGGGAGAGGCTGGCTGTGTGCACACACATGTGAGTTTGGATGATTGCTCAGCAAATATTCTCTTTCCCCTCCCTGAGTGGGCAGACGCATTTCCCTCAGTCATTAATGTTGGGCTTGGTCATGCGATTTCCTTTGCCCAACGGAATGTGCTGCAAGCAGAGAGTTTAAGTTCTCATCGTTTGGCTTGGCGCGCGCAGTCTGCTGCTATATCATGAGAAGTGCAAACCCCGGGTGGCCACTGCCCCTCAGTTCTAGGCTGCAATGCCAGCTCACACTGACAGGCCTCAGCCCAGCCGGCAGCCCAAAGCAGAGCTCACAGGCTAAGCCCGTCTCAGATCAGTCAAGTCCAGTTGAAGTCATGCGTTCGGAAGCAAATGGCTATTGTCACTTGCTGAGTCTGTGTGGCTGTGTGGTTGGTTATGCAGCCTGATGTGGCCATGGCTGACTGCCACAGAGTGCTGGCAATGTCTGCTAAGGCGATGCGGCCCATGTCCCCGGGAAGATGGCGTCTGAGAAAGATCGGTAGGAGGTAAAGCAGCAAGCTCTGCGGGGAACTGGCGAAAGATCCTCGTAGACGGAGGGAGACAAGTGCAGGAACTGGCAGGTGCAAAGAGAAATGACGTGCTCCAGCCAAGAGGTCCGTGCGTCTGGATCAAAGGAAGAGAAGGGACGAGGAATAGGAGATGAGCTTCGAGAAGTGACCCGAAAGTGGGGCGGCGTTTGTAGGGCCTTGGAGGTCACAGCAAGAGCCCTGGAAAGCCATGGGGGCAGTGAGCAGAGGAGGGGCGCGCTTTACTTGCGTGGAGAGGGGCCCTGTGACGCGAGCTTGGGCGCCGCCCAGCCCCGGCGGTGAGGCTGGAGGCGAGGCAGGAGGAAGCCAGGCAGCAGGCCACCGCCGGCCTGGAGGGGCGGGGAGGGGGGCGAGCTGCGATGGCGACTTATTGTCTTGGACCACCACGGGATGACCCGGACCCCTCGCCACCCCACCCCTGGGGCTGAGGACGCCGAGGCCACTAGGTCAGGCTCGTGGCAGTCACCAGGGCCGGGCAGGACGCGAGCGCCCCCGCCCCCGCCTGCGTCTGTTGCTGAGCTCGGGGAGCGCCGCCCGCCGGCCCTCTATTGTCTGGGGGTCCCGGGGCTCCCGGGAAGGAGGGTCTTTTCAGAACAGCTCAGGCAGACACAAATACAGCCTGACAGCCCAGCAACAGCCGCTTGCGTGCACGCTTCCCTGCAGCTTTGTCTCGGTTGGCAACACGCCTTCAATGCAAGTCTCCGAAGAAGAGCTCGCCGCGGCCTGGGGGCCCTGCCTGCTCCGGGGGCCTCCCAGGGGCGCGAGGGCCGGGGCACCACGTTCTAAACCGCCCTAGATTCGCAGGCTCCATTTGAAACAAATATGCCTGGCCCGGGCACTCCCATACCCCCCGCCCCGTGGCACCCGTTGTCCTTAACCAACTGCTTTTCCACTCGGCCTTGGACCTCTATGGAATTATCAGAAAGACAGGCTTCCTCCAGCATGTTCCAAACTCTGTGGGGCACACAACTCTTTTTCTTCAGGTTTCATCTGATCACATAGGAAGGAAGTGAAGGGTGTGTTTTGGGGGTGTAAGTGTGCTAGGAGGGGGATATTGTTTAGAATACTTGAGTGTTACCAAATAATGTTTGGTTATTATTATCGGAATAGTAATAGTTATCCAAGCTTGTGTTCCCTGCCTCTTCTTCTCTTGGCTCAAGTTCAAACACTCAGAAAATATGTTTTAAAAGCAGGATTATTTTTTCCAAGTCAAAGGATCGCCTAAGATAAATGCATCGATCTATCCGTAAGAATTTTTTAAAACCAGCAGATTGGACCAAAGTGGCCCGATTTTTCTCTTATTTTGTCAAGTGGCCTCTAACAAAAAAGGGGGACAACTGGTGAAATGTTATCAAAGCAACTAAATACTTTGTTTCCTACTAGCAAGTCAAAAGGTTGGGAGAAAGACTGTCCTGACCTTCTGTAGCCTGGGATGTGAGTCCCTTTGGCTGCATTTAGCGGCAACCTCAGAGCCTCTGGTTGCAGGTGACCATGCCAACAAGCTCCACCCCAGTGAAGGGAGAAGGATGTGTTCAACAAGAGAAGATCTGGGGGGTGGGGGGAGTGTTCTCTTGCTTTGGGGAAGGAAAGGTAACTCCATCCAGAGCCTAAGCAGACACTCAGGGTGGGGGTCACAAGGTCGTCGGGCCACCACCACAGCAGGCTGGGAGTGGAGAGGGGACCCAGCAAGCATCCGTTGAGTTGCCCCATCTTACAGAAGAGGAAACTGAGGCCAGTGTTGGGGGTCACCAAATAGCGCCCTCACTGCAGTCCTTGGAGGGAGAGAGAGAGTTTCTCATGCAGTTCAGTTAGAAACGGTGGCTCAGAAGTGGGGATGGATTGCCCACCGAGAGCTTAAATTAAGTGACGGGAGGGTCGCTGTGGAGGTCAAATTTGTCCCATGTCACCTGAGGACTGGGGGGAACGTTGAAGCAGCTGCCACCACTGGGTTCGGTTCTCCCCAAGGACAGATGAATAGTCCTGCCCTGACCTGTGGCTCTCACAGCCTGAGGGCCCAGGCCAGGCGGTGGATTTCCTGCCTTTGACTTCCCTACCTTCCCTCCATGAGATCTTTCATGAAGTGATGATCCTGCATTTTTCAAACATTCTGTCATTCTAATCACTTAGCAAAATAAGTCTCAGGGAAAAACAAGTTCAATGATTTGCCCAAGGTCACGTATCTTGTAAGTAACAGAAGCAGGTCTCTGGGACAATGAATCCAGGGCTTTCTCCACAGCTATGCCCTTCCCCATCAGAAAAACGTTACAGATTGCTCATTGAAAGGCATGGCCTAGCACTGGAAATGGCTAGCAAGCAGAAAGGCCACGAAGAGATAGCTAAGGACAATCTGTGAGGGAGGCAAGGGAGAAAATAACGGCTGAAAGCTAGGAAAGAGCAAACTGTCAACAAAAGGAAAAAATAAATAACTACTTGATTATCTAGACAGACCGTCGACAAAAGGAGGAAATTGAGTGGTGCCAGCATCAAATGTGGTCAGATCATGAATCAAAGATAGTAAAGCAGTCAAATGCCGAGACCAACAATGAATTTTGTAAGGGAAAGACTTCACTTATACAAAGCAAAAAAAAAAAAAAAGCAGAAGTTTGAGCAATAATAAAAGCATAATTCTTTTATGAAAAAAATTAAAACCATGACGCTATGATTGCAAGCAAGAGAAAAAACTCCGGTCATCTTAAGTGAACAGGGGGATCAACTAGCAGGCTATCAGGGGCGAACAGTCAGTAAGAAGCTGGAGGACAAGGCTCGGACAACCAGAGGCGCTACTGAAGGCACAGAAAGTAGCCGAAGCCCTATTGTCACCAGCACAGTATTTTCTTCATCTCCGCTATCACTGCCATGCAGGTGATTTTGAACTTCCCCTACATCTATGTACACCTTGTTTAAGATTCAGTATCCCGGGAGCAGCTATTCAGCAGGCTATTTAAACCTTGACTGTACTAGAGGGCAGGCAGAGGGGGCAATACCCCTTTGCCTTTGACAATGGGAGCATAAGGAGAGGCCAGGGTGGCTATCGCCCTCCTACTTACACTACGTACAACGGGGCTGTATCAGCTAGGACAATGCTAACTGCTCTAACAAAAATGTCCCAAGGTTTTGTTTTTAATGGCGTGGCCAACAGAAGTATATTCCTCAGGCATTTTTCCCAGTGGACAGTCAACATTCCACATGATTCTTCATAACCCAGGCTTCTTCCATATTGTGGCTCCATCGTCCTCTTGGGCCTTGGAGTCTTTGCATTCAGCCAGAGAACAGAGAAAGGCAATGAAGGCACACACACTGATGAGCCTCTTGACCATGTGATGTACATCATTCTCCATTCCATTGACAAGAATCAGTCCTGCGGCCTCAACTGTATGTAAGGAAGCGTGGGAAATGTACTCCCGGTTAGCAGATGCTTCCAGTCAATGATTCTATACTCTGCAAGAGGGAGTTCAAACCTTCAGTGGACACAAAGTTGTCTCCGTTATGGGAGACTTCCTAAAAATAGAAATGGGGCAGACAGGAAGAAAGGGGGTAGAATGTGTGAGAACCGAAAGCCAACATAGGTCTGTTACAAAATGTATTTCCAGACACTTACAAGGAAGCCTATACTTTAAATAAATGGACAGCAAGTGGTTGATCATGGAGACGTTACCTGATAAGGCCATTTCACTTTGGGGCCATGCTGTTCATCAGAAAGATCTTCTTTATATTAAGCTCAAATCTTGCTCCTAGCTTTGTTCTTTGAAGTCTACAGCATAAGTCTAAACCTTTTTCCTTGTGACATACATTCAAAACTTTAAAGACAGATGTTGTATATTCTTACTCCACCCCAAGGTTTTCTCTTCTTTCAGCTGAACCCCCTTGCTTTTATCATCCCCAATATATCATTTCCCACCTGCTCATCACTCTTTCATTTGTTTATGTTCCTGTGTGACAAAATCCCTCTTACAGGGTAATGTCCAGGAAGGAATTGCAAAAATGTACACTCCTTTATTCTTCCTATGACCCCTCTAGTAATACAGCCCAAGACCATATATTTAATTAAGGTAATGAAGGCTACTGTAACAGATAAACTCTAATATCTCGATGCCTTTACACAAGAAAGATTTATTTCACACTCACATAGAGTCTTGACTGATAGGCAGCTCTTCTGCAAGCAGTAGTAACCCAAGCTTCTTCCATCTTGTGGCTTTGCTAAACTCTACACATAGCTTCCAAAGTCACACTTTTATATCTATGTCAAGCTAGAAAGGAAAAGAACATGAAGAATCATGTGTGCACAGTATTTATAGGCCAAACCTATAAACAGAACATTGCACATTCTACTGGCTAGGACTCAGTCACATGGCCTAGCTGCAAGGGAAGCTGGGAAGTGCAGTCCAAGTATTTCTACCACAGATATTTCGCCAGCATCCCATGAAGGGTTTTGCTTGAGCTTGCTGTCACCCAAACTCTACTGGATTTTATCTTCATGGGCTGCTGCTAAGTTGGCCTCCCTGTCCTATCATTACAGAATTCATCTTTTGAACCTAGGGGCAGGGCTCCTCGTTTCTCCACTCATTGCCCATTTGGGCCTTTCGTTCTGCCTGCTGCTTCCACTACCTTTCCCTTTTACAAATGTCTCTTTGGCTGTTGTAATAACTAGGGATTACCTGGAAAAGAGCAATTTAACTGAGTATGATCAAGTCTGCAGAAGTAAAGCAATGGTGCTGACCTGTTTCAAGGACATCATGGGCCCGAGGGAGTTACTAATTAATACCTCCAGTGAAAATCACATGGTAACGTTGTCACTTTTTATATCTTTTTTTTTTTTGCCACTGCATAGTTGTTTTTTTTTTCCTGAATTTGCAAGTAGATTTTCAGATCTTCTGTTGGTTTTATTCTTCTGTGTTTTAAGTGCCACATGAAAAAGGGAAAAATTGTATGGCTGGGTCTGCTCTGCAATGCTGGGAATTTTGAAAATGAACTTGAAATCTGTTGCTTTCTTCGCTTTTTGAGGCTTTGTGGGTCAGAGCATTTGTTCTGTGTATCTATTTCCAACCCATAATGCAAGACGTGTAATTAGTGATGCCTCCGCCTCTCCCTGGCAAGCTCAATCAGGCAGAGCCCATCCAAATGTACTCCACAGGCTCCTCTTCCACGGCAAATTGGGGCAGATGTTTCTTATTCCAAAGCACAATTTTCTACCAATTCTCCCACCAAAAAATCGCCACTGGGATGTTACTAAATGGTATTTGCTCTGGAGAAATTCTCATTCATTAATAGGGTTATGGGGGTATAACAAGTGGAGTTAGATGTGGCATGAATTCTGTTAGAATAAAGCAAGGGGTGAGTACCACATAGGCCAAAAAATATCTTAAAAGACTTTCCAAAAAGCTAGCGTGTGGCTCAACTTCATGGCATCACAATTTCTTATAGACCTGAAAGAAATCCATGGACTCGTTCACCCAGTCAAGGATTTGCTAAGCCTCTTCTGAGTGCCATGCGCTGGAGTGGGTGATAGAGATAGAGACCCCTATTTAAAGAAGCTGCCAGGCTTAGGGAAAACCAATGTAAATAAGTAATTTGATATAATAACATAATAGATTTATATACAATTCAGTGGAAAGATATTAGGCCTGGATGAGGTCTTACAGACCATCAAATCCAGTCTTTCTCAACCATTTAGAACCAATACCGTCCTTTCCAGGAAAACAAAAATCTCTAGGCCACTCCGCAGGAGCCTGCAGTATCGCTCTCCAGCCTCATGAGATATGAACCTTTTAGGAACTGGATTTACCTTCTGACATTCTTGGCAAGTATGGAAAATTTGTTCCTACTTTGCTTTTTTTGTAGTTTTATTTTAAAAAACAGCCTCCATGTTTTCTAAACATTGAAATGTGATTTTTAAAATGCCTCCTTCCTCGAAGTAAGTCAGAAGGAAAAAGACAAATACCGGCAGTGTCACTTACGTGTGGAATATAGAGAAACCAAAGGGTCGAATAAAGCCAAACTCAAAAACTCACCTTTGAAAACTGACTGTAGAATTGAGGCCGCCAGGGTGGGGGTGGGAGGGGAGGGTAGTAGGGAGGGAGCACAATGGAATGTGGCAGTGGATTCTGGGTGCTTTGGAGGTGGGTGCACAGGTAACACCACCTGAAGGGGGGATTCTATACTCCCAAGATATGAATAACAATGTCAATCAATGTTACCTTAATAAAAAAGTAAAACTTAAATAAAAACTCCTCCATCACTATCCTAATTAGCTCATCTAATTCAAGACCCCATTTTGAAAATGAAGACACTGAGGTCCAGAGAGGAAAAGACCAAAGCTCGGGGCCCCTGGGGCCTCCGATGTTGTCGGGGTTGATAATGATGTAGGATAAAGAAATAAATAGCAGGGCCTGTTTAAAGGATAACGTAACCTTTGCATCTCAAAATAAGACCTGTGGACCAGCAAGCTCAACCGCATCTGAGAACTTGTTAAAAACAAGGTCAGGGCCCCCCAAGACCTACAGAAGCACAGTCTGCCTTTTACCAGGCCGCCCAGGGGATCTGCGTCGACACTGGGGGCTGAGACGCGCTCTGTGCGGGCACGGTCAAGGCCGTCTCTGCCCATCTCCGCTCCCCAGCGCTCCGGTGGCCATTTCTAACATGCCAACAGCTTCCTACTGCGTTTCAAATGCCTGCATCTTAACTCCCCCCCCCACCCGCGAGGGTGGAGTGAATACCAGCCCCCCCCCACCCCACGCATAAACCCTTAACCAATGAGGGACTGAAGCCCGGAGATGAAGGCCCTATTCTCCCCACCCTTTTACCTGGGAGTTAATTAATCCTCAGCCAGTATGGTTCGCCCATTGATGCAAGCATTTCACCAAAGCGAACACCGAGTAATCCTGAGAGATTTGGTCCCAAAGCAGACCAGCTGATCCCGCCGACTCTTATCAAGAGTTACTTTGTGCATGGGATTGTCTGGTTTTTCCCTGGCTCTTGGCCATTCCCCCACCTCCAGCCATCTCCCATGACTTAGGATTACCCGAGGCATGGGAAAACAGCACCCAGTAATTTCCTGCAGGCTCCGCCTACTTCTCTCCTGCAGGTTCCCCGTGCTGCTTTGGGAATTCCTCCAACAGTCTCTGTCTTTCAAAGCTTCGAATCAGACACCGATCTGACGGAGGCAGGAATTTCAGGGCGCTGCTTTCTTTATTTGGATTGGTTTTAATCACACACTTGCCCTTCTCCTATCACGCTGACCATAGCCCCTCGGGGTCTCTAGTTTACTTACTTTACTCGCTCTGCCGAAGAGCCGGCCGGGCCCGGGTGATGGCTGTTGATATTCCGCCACCTAGTGGGCGAACTGGAACTGCAGGGCCGGAGCGCGAAGGCGGCAGAGAAGGGATGGGTGAATCCCCAACCATCTTCTCTTTTGTTGTTGCCGTTTGTGACTTTTTTTTTTCCCCACTGAGGTAGCATTGGTTGACAACACTGTGTATAATTTACAGGCATAAATTCACACTTGCTCGGGAGTCTGCTACCACACCACACCCGCCATCTTCTTATTGAACACCTACTATGTGCTGGTCACGCCAAATGGAGGAGCTGATTTTTAATCCTCATAACAACCATGGGGTGACCGTGTGACCCTAACTCCACAGGTGTAAGGCAATGAAGCAGCTTGCCAATGGTGACACAGAGAAGGGACAAAAACCAGTAAACGAGTGCATGAGTGGCTGCGGTACAGTTCTGGGCCCAGCTGAAGCTCCACGTAGACAGCCTGTGCCAGGCAGGGAGGGGCTACTCTATCAGTGGGCCCCCGCTCTCCTGCTCCTTCTCCATCCCACTCCCCCTTTGAGCTCTCTTAGGCCATTTTGCTGAACAAAACACTTGAGTGAGGCCGCTGCCCTTCCCCTCCGCTGCATCCATGTTCTCATTTCATCCTGTGCCTCCTTCATCTCCTTCCTGCCTGCACGCGCCCGTTCCCCCGACCTCTACCTTCTGCACTGTCTTTTGCTGAAGTCCCTTATGTCTGAGCCGCTGTCCTTTCTTTACCCCTCCGGGATGACCATCGACTTCCTTCCCAGCAGTTCAGGAGTCAGTCTTTGTCATATTTCAGGAGTCACGTTCCCCATAACTTATGTTAGCAAAAATTGCTTCCTTCTCTTTGGCTCCATGAAGGTCAGATTACTATTCAAAACGAGCAGTCCAGAAAGAGCTCTAGGGTGGGCATGCGGATTGCCAGTCAGAGTGCTTCCCTCTCTTCTTTTTACCAAGAGCACGCTGGCTTTTTTATCCCTGGAGGAAGAAGCCATGTCCTTCACATGGACAAAAGCAAGGGAGATATTGGGGGCTTCCTGGTGGTGCAAGGGATTAAGCCTCAGCACTATGAAGCTATCCGCAGCCATTGCAGCATGAGTTCAATCCCTGGCCAGGGAGGTGACCACATGGCGCAGCAGACCTCTCCAGTCTGGCCCGCTGCTCCCCTCAGCAGTGTATTTCAGTCAGTCTGCCTGTTCTGCTCCCCACTCTGTCCCTGGTGAATCCGCTCAGCCCCCACTACACCCACACCTCTGGCCTATAATCCAGCTCTTGTATGCATAAGTAAATAAATATTTTTTAAAAGGAGCAAGGGAGATATACTTTTTGGCCTAACTCAATCAGGTGCTAGCCTTTCCCTGCAAGTGACTGCAGGTTAGACGATTCCGGCCAATGTGACCTTAGACATGCCTAGTGCAGGCTTCTGGGAAGCTCTGCTTTGCTCATGAAAAGGGGTCTCTTTTTATTCTGCCTCTTGGCAGTGTCACACATAGGGAACACCCAGAATTGCCACAATCCTCTGGGAACCATGAGGGGAATCCAAAGGACTATTAGAGAATGGGACTAGCCCCACCGAGTCACCGAGCCACTGACTCCGCCTCCCCTCGAGCCAACCAGCCAATCGTCAAAGCCACGTTGGTTGAGTCATCTGCCACTTGCAACCAAGAGCACCTGAAAGGCTCTGATAATGTCCTTAGATTTTAGAGCTTAGTTTTCAAAAACTGGCAGAGAATGATTTCAACGTTTAGCTGATCTGCTCACAAGTGTTCTTAATGGCCGTATATTTTTGCTGACCTTGGCCACGTTCTGTGGCACACTGTCATTATGCCTGTAAGAATCAGCCTGACCAGACAAGGGGCACACTGGAATGAGCCCATCTGGCCTTTAAACTTAATTTTTTCCTACAGTGAAAAACAAGCTAACAAAATCAAATCAAGTTTCTGGTTGTGTTCTGGATAATCCTGAGGTAGTGTTAGCCCATGAATCACTTTAAACAATAAGATGCCCTTTAAATAAGCATGCCTACGGGAAATTCTTTTGGGTTCAGGAGAATTCTTTTATGAAAGTATGTATTCTCCCTGCGTGAAAGTTTCCTTGGTTTAATGGAATTTGCAAATCCTGTGCAATTACAAGCAACATCCTGTGTCTCTGTGTAAATATGAATTTATCTTAGAAGGTAGTAAGCTTTTAACAGAATCCAAATGGTGTTTCTAACTATCCTCCTGACTCTGGGGGATAAAAAAAAAAAAAAGAGTTAAGAGCTACTGCTAATGTAGTTGTTTTCAAAGCCTTCACTTTCTTTTTTTTTTAATACAAGAGCTAGAGTACAGGCCAGAGGTGCGGGAGGGTGAAAGGATTCACCAGAGACAGAGCAGGGAGCAGAACAGGCAGACGACAGAAATACGCTGCTGAGGGGAACAGCGGGTGTGACAGGACAGGTCTGCTGTGCCATGTGGGATTCTCGCCTGCGGGTGGGGATCGAACCCACGCTGCAGAGGCTGAGGACAGCTTCACAGTGCAGCGCTCAACCCGCTGTGCCACCGGGGGGGCCCAAAGCCTTCACTTTCTTAAAGAAGCATATCCTCATATTTAAAAGCAATCTGACAGAGAGCTAATATAATATTTTGAGGAACAAATATCCATGTCCAATTTGTGAATTCTCAGATGTCACACCACATGTCCTTATTTTCATATAGGCCCTTAAAACCTATGGGAAAAAATATGCAAAGGGAACTTTGAAACTAGCTGCCATGCCCCCACATTCTCAGGAGGTGTGGTAGATTACAGTAATGACCCCCCAATAATTTTCACATGTCTCTGTATCCAGTCCTTCAACAGTCACTTCCCATACTGTCCCTGAGCTTGGCCACACGAATGACTTTGGTCAAATGAACAATCGCAATTGTGGCAGAAGCAGAGAACTGAAAAATATTCAAATATTGAGGATTTCCCTCTCTTGTTGATGCTGGAGACACTCCCACCGCATCCATCAGAAAAAAACTGGGCTACCCTGATAGATGATACAAAATATTTGACCTAGTCACCCCATGAACCCCGCCTATAAACGGTCTATCGTCAGAGGCAGAACCACACAGCAGCCGACTGCAGGCACAGGAGCCAGTCCCGCTGTGACAGCAACAGACCCGGCCAGCTGACACCTGCCCAAGCTCTGGCCCCGCAAGCTACGTCAATAGCTACTGCTTGAAGCCAGTACGTTTGGGGCTGGTTTGTTATGCAGCAAACGTTAACTGATACCAGAGGGCAGAGAATGACTGTTCTTCCCAGCAGCAGCATCGGTCGTGCTGTGCATGCTGGAGACAGCAGGGAAGGCGAGCAGAAGTGCTGACACAGCTCCAGACCATAGGCCAGCGCTGAAGTGGCCACCGGCAAGCCAGGCAGAGCAGGATGGGTAGCCAGAGAGTGGAGAAGGACCAGGAGGCATATACTCACTCCTCACAGACCGTGGCTAGCAGGAGGAATCTGCCCCAGAAAAGAAGATATGCCAGTTTCCTCTCTTTCATCTCTTCACCTCCCTCCGACGAGGAAAATGAAGGGTGGAAATGTTTTATGAGGGTTAGGCAGGCCCTTGTTTTTTTCCCATGCTTGCATTATTCGGTAAAACCAGTTATTAAAGATTAAATAGGAGAAAAAAAAAACATCAGGAATCGAGTGTCAGAGGAGGAATAAAGGTAGCAAAGAATGAAGGAAAGAAAAAAATATGAGAGGAAAAAAGAGAAGTGAACTATCACCTAGGCTTGCTGAGGGAGAGCGAGAAGGAAAAATCTATTATTATTTTCAGGTGTGTGCCCGCCCATTCAGCCATTTAAACTTCCTCTATACATGGGGAAACTGAGGCTCAAATAGGTTATGTCACTTGCTCTAAGATAGCACTGCCCCAAAATGGCAGAACCAGGATCTGAGTCAATACTTGATCCACTAAGACAGAAGTCTTGACTTGATAACAACAGACAACACTCTGGGCGCCTCTTATGTGCCTCCCACTGTTTGTGGTGCATGGCATGACTAACTCATTTGATATTCAAAACAGTCGGCACCATGATTGTCATCACCCCCAGTTCACAGAGAAGGACACAGCAACAGAAGCTGAGCGACTTGCCCAGGATTTCGTGGCTAGGAAGTGGTGAACAAGGGTGCAGACCCAGAGTCTGGCTTCAGAGCCCGCGCCTGCAGCAACTACGCTCTCGAGCCCGCCACACTCCACCAGAGTCCAACCCCACTACTGCTGCCGCCACTCTCAGGGCTGCCAAGTGGCCCAGGGATGCACCCACATACCAGCACAGGCCTCATGTGAGGATGATCCCCCCGGAAAGACCATGAAGACAGAAAAGTCCACAAGGAGCTCAAACAACCTCCTGCAGTTCAGGCAGAAGCTATGGGGTTAGGGACAAGGCCTGGCTGCCTTACGCTCTGCCCAGAGTCAAGCGGTCTCTGAGGGTCTAAATGAAGGGAGCCCCGCAGCTTAAGATCAGCAGAAGGCACTGGGCTTCATGAGGAAGAACCAGGACTGGCTTCTTCTCATCTTGCTCTCTGGGCCTTTGGGAGCGAGGGCCCGGCGCTGCTTGAAGACA